ACGTTGTAGTAAAGCCCAAACGGCTGCAGTACAACATGAACCAGTCGGCGTCTTTCGGTTAGAGTGGCCTACAAACCTCTTCATTGTGCACTTTGATACGAAACAAACTTATTTCAAGAGATCCTTCGAAACCGGCATTTTCTTCAGCTCAATTGATAGAACCAAGAGCTCACCTGAATGAACGGCGAGACGGGAGAGTAGACGGCAGAGTTGAGCGGATTTGCCGTCAGTGATATGTTGTGGCCATGCGTAACCGAGGCATGCAACTGATGTTGTTGCTGCTGCTGTTGCTGCGTGAGTGAGGTCTGTTGTTGCTGCTGCTGCTGCTGTTGTTGTTGCTGTTGCTGATGCGCCAAAAGAGCGGCGGCCACGGCCTGTTGATAGGCGGCGAGGGCGTTCATACCGTTTGACGCCGCGTTGGCAGGGCCCGTCAGGCAGTAGCCGCCGGCTGCAGCCGAGAGATGGCCCGGCAACACAAGTAGTTGCTGGTCGAGGCCACCGGCAGAAGAGACGGCGGTGGCCGGGGACGAGGCGAGACCAGACTGTCCGGGTGCGGGATTCAGACCGAAGAAGCCGGGGCTGGAGAAGGAGATGCCCCCGGGCGCGGCAGGGGTCATCAAGACACTGTTTGCCGTGGGCAATGCGGCGAAGCCGGGGGGTGGGGGCGTGCATGTGATGAGGCTGGAGTGGGCGGGAGAGGCCGGCGACGAGGCGGCGGGCCCGGACAGAGTGGACGGAGTGGTGCTGGTGCTGGGGTTGTTGATGCCTCCGGGGCTGTGGTTGGCGGCGACTGCGTCGTGTGTGAGAGCAAAGACCGACGTACAGGGCAGGGAAGAGGCGACAGAGGCGGCAGAAGAGCACGGGAGGCCGCAATATGGGGAGCTCGAGGAGACGGAGGCGACTGAACGAGCCCCGCAACCGCCGCCGAAGAGGTGCCCGTTCATGTAGCCATTGGTCAGCCCGGCAACTCCGTTGAGCAGCCCGGCGTCGGCAACCGACAGCGCCGTATGAAGGCAGAGGTTACTGCCGACCCCGGCCCCTCCACCGCCGCTGCTGCCACTGCTGCTGCTACTGCTGCTACTGCCGCAGCCGCTGTTGCCGAGGGCACCGGTGCCGGTGCAGTAACCAGCGCCACCACCGGCAGCCGCGGCGCTGATGGGCGATCCGTTTGAGATGCCAGTCAAGATGAGGCTACGAGGCGGGGTCATGTGTGACGAGATGGTGTGAGGCTGATACACGTGATGGTTCTGGTGCTGGGGGGCATGTGGGTATTGGAGACGCCGCATTTGGCGCTCCTTGTCGGAATCTGCGAACTTAACGACGAGTGGCGAAGAAGCGCCCTGTCAGAGGGAGGGAACAGTGGAGAGAATAAGTACGCATGCGTAGACATCGGTTTTGATGTTTTTCACGCAAAATAACGTTTTGTTAAGTGAATTTGTAGCGTCGACAAGCTCTAAAATGGTGCAGAACAGCGCAGCGTTTGCATAAACGCCCAGCTTATCTTGTCTTATTGAGAGGGCGATGAGTAAAGAGGAAATGACTTGTTAACAATTTTACATACACATCTCTACGCCTCCTCTCCATGCGATGGGATATTGGCTGCCGCGTTTCGCCAACGCGACCAAGAGTTGACAAACTGGCGA